TGCCAGCAGTTCTCCTCACCCCAGGACCCCCGTCCAGAACTGTGACCCAGATCCAAGCACAGGCAAAGCAAGAGATTGCTGCCTCATCACCAGCAGAGAGATCCCTGCAGTCCCCCTCTGATCAGCCATTCGATTCTCCCTCAGTCTGTGGGCCAGAAGCTCGGGAAGCAGCTGCCCCACCCAGGGCCACACTCTTGGAGAATGGAGGTGAGACCCCGCCTTCCTGTCTCAGCACTGCAGAAACAGACTTTTCCCACTGACCTTCTAAATTGTCTTTTGCATTAGTGGATTGAGGAGTCTGGAAACAGCCACAGCTGCCCGTGATTCAGTCCTCTGAGGCCTGCTCCAGGTTTGCTGAGGCCTGCACGCCCACGCCACACTGCACTCCTCTCTCAGTCTGGCACCATAGACCTTTCTGATCAATCATCTAGGTTGTCTTGGGCTGGAAATTTGCTTTACTCTGTCTTTTTGTGGGTTCTGCTGCCTTAGAATTTGTTTAGAGCCATTTTTATAGGTATTTGGAGGGATTTGGGGGAGAGCTCAAGCAAGTTGCTGCTTTCACTCTGCCATCTTGGCTCCACCCCTCCAGATCTATTTTTTAAAAAGAAGCCATTATTTGTACCATTTTTTATTAGCCTTAATCACTGAACGGGCAAAGTCGAAGTCAAAGTGACAGCTGGGATGGACCTCTTCTTAACAAGGCCAGGTTCCCCCATGGTTTTCTAGGCCATCTCCAGTCATCCTAATCTACGTCTGACTAATGAAATCTGAAGGCTCCAGAGGAAAAAGTGAGGCTGGTAACTATGCAAGCACTCCTTTGTTTAATGCAATTCACTCACAAGCCATGGCATCACCTTCATGATTACATACTTTTCTTTGAGAATGAAGGACAAATAGCATGACACAAAAATCTGTAAAGTAAAACCAGGTTTAACTCTCATCCCTAAATCAGAGAGGGTCCGCAAGGCTTACTTAGTTTTCAATTAAATCAGAGAGATAACAAATATATCTATCTATCTATATCTATATCTATCTATCTATCTATCTATCTATCTATCTATCTATCTATCTATCTATCTATATTTTATAGTGATCAAAATGAACTACATCTCACAATTTTCTCAAGGAAGCAACAAAATAGGAACCCAAGATTATCGAACCTTGAGAGAGAATTTACATTGCAAATAACCAACACCATTCCTATCGTACTCTGAACTCTGTACTTAATATAAACACTGTTCACAACAAGCTAAAGGGTTACTGATAACATTGGTAAGCTATCCATACAAATACATACATACTAATACATACAAACATACATACAAACTAAACATTTTAAATACCACAGAAGATCGAACTCTCAAAACCTTCCAAATTACATATCTATATCTATATCTATTTGATCTTAGTGATTCCTCAGAATTTTTATTCAAGTCTTTTAACTTCACATTATTTACCAATTAACTGTTAATTATTCTAGAACTGAAAATTTAATCATTCAGTTTAAATTAATTCTGATTCAATTCATTTATCCAGTCCTCACCCAGAACAGGCAGAGACAGATGAGGATTTTAACCTTCACAGAAAACATAGGTCATAGAATGCTTTTTATGAAAAATGATACATAAATGAAGTCACGTGAAAGTCACCAAGTTAACTTTAACTCAGTTCTACCAGCCCTCCACCCCTATTGCTCCTGTCCTTTCACACTTCATTACTCCTTTTTACCTTTTCCTATCCAGTTTTGTTTTCTGTCATAATTAGCTCACTCCCAACCTTTCTTAAGAATACTGATAAGATTTTCACATGTAAGAAGTAAACAGTTTGAGTCCCTTACAGTTAGTCTTTAATGTTCACTTTATATTTCTTCTGGATCATATATGTTGACTATTCCATTGAGTTCTGGACTTTTTGTCATATATACCTGAAAGTTTTTTTAGTTTGTTAAATGTCTTTTTTCTTTTTTTTGTTTAGGATCATCATCTTTGCTTGTTGAATTATGTTTGGTTCTGGCCCCAGCTCTTTTGCATTCTGAAAAATAATGTTGAAGACCAATAGTCTTTTCTTTGTTTTCTTTCTTTCTTTTTTTTTTTTTAAAGCAATTAGGTTAAGTGACTTGTCCAGGGTCACAGAGCTAGTAAGTGTCAAGTGTTTTGTCTGAGGCTGTACTTGAACTCTGGTCCTCCTGACTTCAAGGCCTGTGCACTGTGCCACCTAGCTGCCCCTGACCAATAGTCCTTTAATGTAGAAGCTGCTAAGTCTTGTGTAATCCTGACTGTATCTCTACAGTATTAAAATAAAATTTTTCATGTTGCTTGTAGTATTGTCTCCTCAACCTGGGAGCTTTTAATATTGGCTATGCTATTATGCAAGTTTTCATCTTGAGAACTTTTTCAGGTGGTGATTGGTAGCTTTTTCTATTTGTAATTTACCTTCTTGTCCCAGAAGCTCGGAGCAGTTTTCCTTAATGATTTCTTGTAATATGATATCTAGACTTTTTAGAAATCGTAACTTTCAGGTAGTCCAACAACTCTATATTGTCTCTCCTCAATTTGTACTCCAGATGGGTAGTTTTCCTAGTAAGATGTTTCACATTCACTTATTTTTTCATTCTTTTGATTTTATTTTATTATTTGTTGTTGCCATATAATTTGCTTCCTCTTGCCCAATTCTAGTTTCCAAGGAGTTATTTTCTTCTTTGAGTTCTTGGATCTATTCTTCCACTTGGATGACTCTGTTTTCATAATTATCTTGTTTTTTTTCCCCTTAATTTTTCCTCAATGTCTCTTATTTGATTTTTGAAGTCCTTTTTAAGTTCTTCCATTCTTAATTTAATTTAATTTAATTTAATTTAATTGGGCAATTGGGGTTAAGTGACTTGCCCAGGGTCACACAGCTAGTAAGTGTGAAGTGTTTGGTCTGAGGCTGGATTTGAACTCGGGTCCTCCTGACTCCAGGGCTGGTGCTCTATCCACTGCCCCACCTAGCTGCCCCAACAAGTTCTTCCATTCTTTTGGGACTTTTGACCAGTTGATGTTTTTGTTGGGGTTTTTTTTCTAAGTAGGACTGGCTTTTTTTAGCTTCACTATTTTCCTCAGAATATTGACTCAGATCTTCTTTGTCCCCAGAGCAGTTGACTTTCAGAACCCTTTGCCCACTCATTTTTATTTTGTTTTTGTTAGAATTTAGCTGCTTATTATTGTAATCAGGTTCTAGTCCTTAGGTGTGGGGAATGGTGCCCCAGGGCTCAAGTCCTTCTTACTATTATTACGTAAACTTTTTAGGGAGTCCAACAGCAGGGGCTCCTTTCCACCTGTATGCCAGGGCTAGAGACCCCAACCAAACATTCCATCAAATGCTCTTACTCTGTTTGCTGCTCTTCTCTCTGCCCTGGAGCCAACATTTGGGGCTCCACTCTCCTGCCAATTCCCGCAGCCAGCAGGGTCCCAACCCCTCTGCTGTTGCACTCACTTGGCTCCTTCTTGGCCACAGCTGCAGCCTGGGATCATGTCTGGTCAGCAGAGGTGGGCTTGGCATGGACAGGAGAGGGTTCTTCAAAGCTTTCCCTACTCCAGTCTGTGAAATGAAAGTTACTTCAGCTACTTCCTACTCAGCTGCCAGGGCTTCTTGTTTCTTGATTTAGTGAAATCTGGCCTGTAGGTTGGTCTTTCCTGAGGTCCTCTCAAGTTGTGTTAGGAGGACAACTACTTTACCTAGATTTTTGTTGTTTTTACCACTCTGTGTTCACTTTTGCTCTCTTTTTTGTGGAAGAAATTTGGAGAGCCTAGAATTTTCTGGCCTATTCCACCATGTTTCCAGAACTGTATAAGGGTTTTCTAAAAGCATTCATTGAATATCATTCTTTTCTTTTTTAGTTTAAACCCATCATGATGTAAAAATCAATTAATAGAACTTTAGGAAATAATTACATTTTGGATTTTCACACTCAAAACAGAAGAGCATGATAGTTTGTGTGGACTTTGTGTAGATCTTGCTACTGTCTTGAAGTTGTTAGTTGTTTCGATTAATTTTTAGCTGAATCTTTAGTTTTCTACGTAGACCATATCATCTTCAAAAGTGATTGCTTCATTTCCTTTTTGAAAACAGCATATGAATAACTACACATATGAGATACATTCAGAGTGGATGGAGGATAATACCAAAAAGGACATTAGCATTTAGGGGGAAGGGAAATGATTTGGAAAAGGCTTTTTGTAGAAAGTAAATTTTGAATTTTGGCTAACGATAACTAAGCAAACTAAGTTGACGGGGCAGAACTTTATATTCTTAGCAAAAGATTTGGAGTGCAAGGTTTGGGAAATATTTGTAGGCCCACATACATGAATTGTAGACTATGCTCGGGGACTCAAGTGCAAAAAGTCAGGAAATGTAGTTACTGATCCCTGTAATTAATATTAATAGAAAACAAGATTCACTATATATATATATATATATATATGCATATATATATATATATATATATATATATATATATATATATATATATATATATATATATATGTATATACAGTGTAGAGAACTCTGCTCGCATTTGGGATATAACCTGGAAGAAGGTCATAAAATACTTTAATTCGATCTTAAAGGGATGTATTCTTTGAAGCAGAGGTGGAAAAGTGTATTGCAAAGGGAATGATAAAGTCTATGTAAAATCAGATTGAGTATGATGTTTGAGGAACAGAGAGAAGATCAGTTTGGCTCTATCACAGTATGAAGACTGAATTAATATTTAACAAATTTGGAAAGATAGATTGGGGCAGGATTGAATGAGGCTTTAAAAGTTAGGCATAAAAGTTATATTTAATTTCAGTCACCAGAATTTACTGAGTAGTGGAGTGATGTTGTCAGACTTGATATGGTCAGATGTCCATCTGCTAAGTAATTATTAAAATATTAAGTACACTTTTGTATAATTTTTGCAATAGTATGAAAAATGACAGAGTACAGCTTATTTTTTAAATCTTTTTTATTCATTTATCAAGTGAGCATGGATGATTCGGGACTGAAAGTTACTGAAAACATTACTGAACATGAAGATGGTGAACAGTCAAAGACAAGGTATTTTAATAATTTTTGGGTTCCTTTACCCATATTTTTTCAGTTAGGTGTTAAGAAATTATTATAATAATTATTGTAATTTATTATATTCATATGGATTTTTTATTTGGGCTTAATTGACATTTCTGTATAATTGTATACTTAAGAGCTCATGTTTTCTAATTTAGAAATTGCAAATTTAGAGGATAGTCTGATAACATGAAACTCAGTGAGTATGTCTCTACAAAATTTAATTCTTATAATAATAAATGTACCAGATTTTTTTCCCTCTAAGTTCTGGTAATTGCTGTATAGTTGTCTTTGTTGGTATAGTTTAAAAAAAGAAAAGAAAAGAAAAGAAACTTAGTGCTTCAGATTATTCAGTATAAGGATTTTTGAACCACTGATTTAATTTGATGTAATCTAATTGTTTAAGAAGATGGTTTTAAAAATAAATTTGTATTGACTTTATCACTTTTTAACAATTTTAGGAGACAATTTTTTATTGATTTAAAAAATTTTTGGATATTTTTTTTTGACCAAGAAACATTTATTAAGCACCTATTATTTGTGAGACACTAAGTACTGGGGATACAAAAAAAGCAAGAAATAATAGTTCCTCTCTCCATGGAGCTTATGAGTCAAGAAGCAAACAAATATATATATATAATATATATATTATATATATATATATATATATATATACACACACACACACACACACACATATATATATAATATATATATATAATATATATATATATATATGAAAAATAGTAGATAATAGAAATGGGAAGGCACTGGAATTAAGAGTTGGGAAGAAAACTTACTGTAAAAGGTGGATTTTCATTGAGTCTTAAAGGAAGTCTGGGAGTTCAGGAGTCATTGACAGTGATAGTGCTCCAGGCATGAAGGACAGCTAGAGAAAATGCCTGGAGCTGAGAGGTGGAATAGCCAGGAGACCAGTGTGGGAATTAAGGCATAAGGAGACTGGAATGATAGAAGGGGGCTAGATTACAAATGTCTTGACTTTGAATGCCAAACAGAGTATTTTGTATTTGATCCTGGGGACAATAAGGCACTGCTGAAGTTTATTGAGTAAGGAGGGTATGAATGACATGATTGGACTTACACTTTACAAAAATCACTTCATGGCTCAATGGAGGATAGGCTGGAGTGAGGAGAGACTTGAGCAGGTGGACTTCTCAGCAGTTATTGAGTGGCAGTGTCAGAAGAGAGAAGTGAGCATTGACAGGCCCTAGGGCTAGATATGGGAGACAGTGAGAAATCTAGGACAGTTTCCAGGTTATAAGCCTGGGAGGTTGATGTTGCTGTCCTCAGTAAGAGGGAAGGTAGGAGGAGAGGAGGGTTTCAGAAGGAAAGATCATGAGTTCAGTTTTGGGTATGTTTAAGTTGTCCTTGGGACATCCAGTTTGAGGTATCTGAAAGGCAGTTGGAAGTGGGAAATTGGAGGTCAGCAGGAAGCTTGGGGCCAGAAAAGTGGATTTAAGAGTCATCTGGCTAGAGATCCATGATGAGATTTTCAATGAAATAGTACAGCTGCCAATTCACAGTTGAAGAGAGGTTGTTGGAAGATTATAAAACCCTTTAACCAAGGTTAACCTATATGGCATAGGGACTACATTGGTGAGGAAAACATCATAAAGAATATTCTTGCCTGGAATACAGGATGAGTGACCCTGAAATGGACAAATCAAAGTTGAACATACTCATTGACATATATAAAGGGTGTGTGTTGAAATGCATTAAGCTCAACAAGTAAATAAAGAGGGCCAGGGAGAGTAGAATAGGGTTTAAGAGAGGAGTCAGGAGAGGCAAGGAAATATTCATAACTTCAATATTTGGATAGACTTAAAGGAAAGAAAGAGTAAAAACTGGTTGACAGAATCAGAAGAGGGGCAGAAACAGATTGGATTACTTGTAAATTGTTTAACATCATAATAGGTAAACATCATCTGTACTGTTTTTTTAAGAAGAAAGTGAGGTAGGACAGTGTTGCCAGCAATCAAATAGCACACCAAACGGGAAGGCGCGAAATAATTTAGAGATGTGGGCCAGGCAGAGCAGTAAGGACTGACTCAGTTTATTCATCTGAGGGTACAGGTTATATAGAGGAAATCTAGCCTACCTACAAAGAGTCATCCCCATGAGACACTTCCCGAACATCTGCTGATAAGTGACAATACCTATTTTCTTGTAATCAGAGTTCCTAGATTGGGATGTAAAACTCCAAGACTTTTCCCTGGCGCCTAGGCGTCACCTGCATAGGAGGGTGATAAGTAAATCTAGGATTCAGAGAATGAGATGGAATGTTTCCAGAACGTCCCTTGCAGGGGGAGATTTGGAGAACCCTGCCTTGAGCCCTGTGGGTTAAGCCTGGGCAAAGGTCAAGCTTTGTCCTGGATCTTAAACCCAGGAGGACACTTAAAGCTGGCCCTCTACAAACTCCTCTCTTTTCGAATTTGCAAGCAGTTTGAGGTGATGAATATATGCTGCTAACTCTCTGATCCTTGATTTAATTAAGGTGACAATGCAGGGAATAATGAAACATAATTTGGTGAATAACACTGCCCAAGAAAATGCATGAAGTAACAAGGCAGGTAAATTTTTAGATATATTGATTGCACTTAATTTCTTTAAGATCTCTACAGCCAGATATTTTGGGTTGGTCCCTGGGGAATGACTGTCTGCAATCTCCTGGGTGATATTAGAATTGTGCCAGGCCCCTAATAGGCAGGCATTTGTCTTGTCTCATGAGATATTAGGATCTGAAGCATCATAGGGTAGCAGGTAATGTAAATATATGAATATCTATAGTCACATTGCAATAGCAACCTTGTTTTCAAGGGTTCTGACTTATCTGCTAAATACAATACTGATTTCTAATAAATTGACTTTATACAATGTATCAATAGCTTCTTGTGCATTAAGTACTAAACATATATTGTTTTTGCTAAGTCATGTACAAATTACGCAGTTTAGATTTCAGATTGTAGCACAATAGGTGAAACAGTAGTAGATACGATAAAAGAAGCAACAATGATTAAACCAATAATAAGGAGAGCAATAAGTTTGTTTTGATTGACTTAAGGAGGAGGTAATATTTTGAAGAACATGTTCACCAGAATTCTGGAACTATCCATGTGAAACGCTGGTAGGGAAAATAGCAAATGATGATTGTTCTACCAAAAGTACAATGTAGTCATTGTTATCAATACATTGTTTGAGAGTATAGTTGACACAAGTAACATTCTATTCAAAAGTAGTATTATTGAGTAAAAGTTACATATCCATTAGACAAACTGGTATTAAAAACTGATGTAACAAGAAAAAGACAAGATTCAATATTGTTGCTAAATTTTGAAAAACATATAGGTGTCCTGGATGCTAGAGATCTGAGGGTAATTGTAACATTGACTTTATCCTGGAGATAGGGATCTTCTTGTCTTCCAAATATACAGGTGTTATTAGTATGTATGGTCCCAATTTGTCCATATATGTGAGGGGTTGCATCCAGGGTGGAAAAGGAAAAATAAGTCCACTGCTGAGCACTCTGTACATTACACACTTGAGCAGAAAGTAAAGCTACTGTTACTAAAATACAAGTTCAGGAGTCTTCCATCACTCGATGACAGGGAGCTTTCACTGGACCCCATGTGGGAAGGCAACTCGTCACTGTAGATTGGCTCCTTCTGTGCTTTCCCTGAATTTTCATACTCTGCATTCGAACTGTGAGTTGTTATGCATGCTCTGACATCTTTCTCCAGTATCTGGGCAGGTTTATCAAAGTTTTCTGAAAAATGTAAGCACACCCTTGTCCCCTTGTTAGTAATGATCCGGGCCTCTGGATGTTTTTAGGCTGGAGTACTCATCTTTGTTAATATTTAGAAAATTAATAGCCAATTATAAAAATTAATAGCCAATTGTCAAAATTAATAACCAATTATCAATGAGGGGTAATAGCCCAGATTTCCCCTTTTTTTTAAAAAGAATAATTTTAATATCTTTGTTTTAATTATATAAAATGTTTGTGATCAGAGAAATGTTATAAAAAGCATAAAAGAAGAAAATGTTTTGCTAATGAAGCTCCTCAGGAGCATTATCTGTTTTGATTCATTTAAGTACACTCATAACTGTGAAGGCTTGTAAAATATGATTGATCACATTTAATTGCTCCACTTGTTTGTAAAGTGGCAAAAATGAAAGAAGAAAAAAACATCATCTAACAAATATAAAAAGCTTTTCAAAAGAAGGCATATAAGTTATATCCAATTGTCAAATATGTTTGGGAGAAAAGCCTTCGATACATTTGAAACAGGCTGTTAATTAAAAAAAATCATTATTCTTTATACTATGTTTCTAATACTGTAGGAGTTTATTCAAAATAGTCACAAAATGTTTCTTTCTACTGTTAAGGTTGTTGTATTGGCAGAATATAGTTAATAAAAGGCTCAATAAAAGCTTAAAAAAAGTTAAGTGGCAGCATTGTAGTTAAGAATCAATAATGCATTGCTTTCAGTATATAATTGTGTATTAGTAATATATTAACTTTGCATCTTATATTTTGAGAGACATAAACAGATTACTGTTATCAGAAACAACATTAATAGGCTCATAATATCCTGCTATACCTGTACTTAACCCATGGTGAATGTATGGGTGCTGAAGGAATGGGGTTAAATCTAACAATCTTTTGAAATACCTATGAATAATTAGTAAAAAAGGTTAATATCTTAAGAAATGGTAATTATCAATATCAATACAACCAGAAAAAAGTAATAGCATTTGCCAATCCTCTAAGAGGAAACAAGAGTGTCTGTTTGCCTTTTATTATAAGGTTGATTAATAACAGAAAGTAATTTCCTGTAAGTTAAAAATTGTAGGGGACACTGGAGTACTAAGAATAGCACCTGGTACCCTTCATTTAAAAAAATATGGGTGAGTTGAGCTTCAGGAATTTTTCTGTTTGACTAAATAAAGCTCCTTTTTGCTTCAGGAGT